GTCGGGCTGATCCAGGAGGTGTTGGCGAGGCAGCTGGTTCCAGGTGTCCAGCACTCCTTCAGGGAACGACCGGCGGACGTTGTTGCGAGAACTGGCTGGGATATCAGACTGCAGCTGGTAGCGGTGGCCGGCCGCCACCCGCCGACGGTGGTGGCTGATGTGGAGTAGGTATGTATTGAGCAAGGAGTGGTGCTTTCTTGCAGGGTTGCTGGGTAGAAGGTTAAAATGGACTTCTCGTGTGCTCTGCATGGCAGTCGTAAGTCAGTCATGTGAGCATTCAAGTCGACAGGAAAAGCGCGAGCTCCCACGTAGGGGTCAACACACAATTCCCCCCAAGTATCGCCGAAGTCTTACTAACATCTTCTTCAGAATAATATGCCAGACATGGGTATTTGAGAGTCAAGAATGCCGAAGTGATCGCTTTGCCTGTTCAATTTTACTTTCGCAAAATTATACCGACATGTATATGTACATGTAATAGTGGTTGACGTGTCGTCAGTCTTATGATGTCATCAGTCTTATGATGTCATCAGTCGTATGATGTCATCAGTTTTATGATGTCATCAGTCTTATGATGTCATCAGTCTTATGATGTCATCAGTCTTATGATGTCATCAGTCTTATGATGTCATCAGTCTTATGATGTCATCAGTCTTATGATGTCATCAGTCTTATGATGATTCGTGGGTTAGTGACTGTGTGGTGTATTTGGTGCGTAATTTCTGTCAACTGAAGAACTCCTCCCTGGAAACACTACATTATTCGTTCAACCCTACCGAAGGAACAGTTACCGGCTAGCACTGGTTCTATAGCCTGACAAAGAGGTACGCTCTGGACAGTTATCTGGCGTAAGTCTTGATCCATTTTATGCACATCTTGTCCGCTATTGTCGCTGCAAGAAAAAAACATTTTGTTGTACATGCAGTGCATTTTATCTATTTGCGTTCTTCTCTTGGGGCGGGCGTACAGGGTCTTTGGAAGTGAGATTCACGGACAGCGAGAAAGTGTATAATTATGTGTCTGCGCGTGTGAGCGTATGTGAGTGCGTGAAAGAGTTTGAGAGTGACAGAGAGAGCATGTGTTTATGCGGCCATTGTGTGTGCGTATGTGTCTGTTGGTGTGTGTGTGGGTGTTTGTGTGTGTGTGGGTGTGTGTGTATGTGTGTGTGTGTGGGTGTGTGTGTGTGTGTGTGTGTGTGTGTGTGTGTGTGTGTGTGTGTGTGTGTGTGTGTGTGTGTGCGTCCCATATGGTGCAGTGGTATGTGCAGCGATTTCCAATCGATAGGTTGCGGGTTCGATTCCCGACGATTATGGTCACACACGTCTTTTTTCTCTTTCTCAGACTCTTCCTGACTTTTCTTTCATTCTCCTGGATGGTTACCAACAGGCAGTGCATGCCGGAGTATGTGGTGTGATGTGTGTGCGGGAAAAAAATATACAATACCAAAAAGTAGGGATTCATTGGCCAGAAAAAGCCACTTCATAGCTGTGTGGTGTAGACCAGGCTGAATAGTGGCGGCCAATTCTTCAGCCTTGCAAGCTGTTGAATGGTACAATCCCAGCACGAGTTTCTATGGCTTCTGCTGTAGCATCGCTATCATCGCCTCCGTCGATGGGCGTCCAATGGTCCAATGGTGTTTGCATCACTCCAGAGACCTGAACGTTGAAGGCCCCGCAGCTACATCGCCTGGAGGTATTCCATCACCATTGCATCCGAGTGATTCTGGGTGTGTCACGGGACCAGCAGTGGCAGGAGCGCATTTCTTCTGAGGAACTAGCCCGGTTTGCCGTCGTCAATGGCGGAGGTCGTACGCTGTCATCGCTTACACTGGCTTGGCCACCTTGGGCGAATGGAGGATTCTCGTCTCCCTAAGCGCATTCTGTTTGCCGAAGGACTCAACACAAGGCCCAGACATGGTCCCAAGAAACGTTGGAGGGACATCGCCGCTGCTGATCCTCTGCTGATCTGAGTGCTCGGTGAATGACAGGTGACTGGTGCGACTTGGCACAGGACAGACGAGACTGGCGCCTCATCTGCAATCGTCCCCGACCGGCTGTGCCAAAGCCTAGAGTGTTCATTTGCGGCAGTGGCAGGGACTTCCGTCGACCCAACGATCTAACTCGCAACAGGAAATACTGCAACTCCTGATGCTATCATTGCATGGAGCAATGGGCATCCAAAGGTCCAAAGGTGTGTTTGTGTGTGTCTGTGTGTGTGCGTGTGTCGTGGCATGGACCAAAGAAGCGTTGGCGAGACACGATTGTCGGTGATCTGCGCTCACTGGATATTCCGAAGTCCGAGTGGTATCGACACGCACAAGATCGATCGGATTGGCGCAGGTCGGTCCATCAACATCGTCTTCCTCCCCCGGTACCGAAGGACTTTCACTGCGCATGCGGCAGAGCGTTTAGGAGAAGTGGCGATTTGAAGCGTCACATCAAGTACTGCCCAACTCAGTAGCCTATCATCTCCACTGGAGATGGGGCGTCAAAGGTCAGGTTTAAAGGTGTGTGTGTGTGTGTGTGTGTGTGTGTGTGTGTTCACGTGGGTCCCTCCGGGGCCCACGTGACCCTAGTGGTAGTGGCTCTAAAGGACAGGACAGGACAGGTGTGTGTGTGTGTGTGTGTGTGTGTGTGTGTGTGTGTGTGTGTGTGGTGTGTGTGTGCTTTCTCTTACTAGAGAGTCCAATTCAGATTTCTGTTACAGAACTCTATATTGGATAGCCAGTGCTCACGTGTTGTCGTGTCTTTGCAGCTGGCAACCGTAACTATAACATCACATCGAGCGTAGTCGAACATAAAATGGAATATGAGAGTCATGTTGCTTATCATCCTGAACTGGCCTGGCCATTGCTTGATCAATTCCAACCGTAGTAGCCACTCCGCCTTGACTCCATGTTTGTGTGCATCATAATAATTAGTATACGAGCGTGCGTGTGTGTGTGAGTGTGTGTGTGTGTGTGTGTGTGTGTGTGTGTGTGTGTGTGTGTGTGTGTGTGTGTGTGTGTGCGTGCACGTGTCCCATATGGGGCAGTGGTATGTGCAGCGATTTCCAATCGATAGGTTGCGTCGATTCCCGACGATTATGGTCACACACGTCTTTCTTCTCTTTCTCATACTCTTCCTGACTTTTCTTTCATTCTCGTGGGTGGTTACCAACAGCCAGTGCATGCCAGAGTATGTGGTGTGATGTGTGTGCGGGAAAAATATGAAAAGACCAAAAATAGGGATTCAATGACCAGAAAAAGTCACTTCAAATAGCTGTATGGTGTAGACCAGGCTGAATAGTGACGGTCAATTCTTCAGCCTTGCAAGCTGTTGAATGGTGCAAGCCCAGCACAAGTTGCTATGGCTTTTACCGTAGCATTGCTACCATCGCCTCCAGCGATGGGCGTCAAAGGTCAAGGTGTGTGTGTGTGTGTGTGTGTGTGTGTGTGTGTGTGTGTGTGTGTGTGTGTGTGCGAGAGAGTGAAAGGGAGAGTGGCTGCGAGAAAGAGGAAGAGCGAGAGAGAGGGAAAAGAGAGGGAGGAGAGAGAGTGAGAGAGATAGATAGAGAGACATGTTATGTACAACAGATTTAGTCCTAGTCAGTCAAGTTACCAGTCTGTCGCCAGGGAGCGATACTGACTAACGCTGCTGCCTGGTGCTCACAATACTCAGTAAGTGATTGTGAGAGTAGAAATGTATTGACACTGAGACCTGTCACTGTGTGTTATTACATTTAGTGTCTACCCCTAGACCCTAGTAGTGTTAAGTCTCAAAGAGCACTACATCATGTGTACAGTGATCCTGGAACTCAACTGATGACGGGTGCATTCACCCAAACACCGTGTAGTTAGAAAGGAGTGGTGCTTTCTTGCAGGTTTGCAATTCACATTAGAAATTGAGGAAGAAAATTACTGCAAAAGTCGGTCTGAAGTTGATACACAAAAGCCTCAACTCGTTTGGTTCAATACACCAACTCGGTATGTCACCACCTCACCATATCACCATCTCACTGCCTCGCTGTTTCACCATATCCCATCTCACTGCCTCGCTGTTTCACCATATCACCATCTCACTGCCTCACTGTATGACCATATCACCATCTCACTACCTCGCTGTTTCACCATATCACCATCTCACTGGCCCACTGTTGAAACCATATCACCATCTCATTGCCTCGCTGTTTCACCATATCACCGTCTCACTGCCTCGCTGTTTCACCATATCACCATCTCACTGCCTCGCTGTTTCACCATATCACACCATCTCACTACCTCACTGTTTCACCATATCACCATCTCACTGCCTCACTGATTCACCATATCCCCATCTCACTGCTTCACCATCACACTATCTAACAACCACACAATACTGCATCTCCCTCACACACAAATCCCACAGTACCACGTTGAAATAATTAAACGTGTGTTCTATGTGTGCCCCACGCATGTGCATGTGACCTCATGTGTGGATTTGGTTTTGGCGCCTTGCTCGCGTTTCAGGTCTTCGTTACTCAGTCTGTTCTTTACGCTTCTGGCAACTGGTGTATTTTGCTATTTCTCTGTTCTGTTCTACTACTCCCTCCTTATGCTCTAAGTGCCATTTACACGGCTGTAGAATTGTTGTTATTACTCTAAGTGCCATTCACACGGCTGTAGCATTGTTGCTATTACTCTAAGTGCCATTCACACGGCTGTAACATTGTTGCTATTACTCTAAGTGCCATTCACACGGCTGTAGCATTGTTGATATTACTCCAAGTGCCATTCACGCGGCTGTAGCATTGTTGCTATTACTCTAAGTGCCATTCACACGGCTGTAGCATTGTTGCTATTACTCTAAGTGCCATTCACACGGCTGTAGCATTGTTGCTATTACTCTAAATGCCATTCACACGGCTGTGTTGCTATTACTCTAAGTATCATTCACACGGCTGTAGCATTGTTGCTATTACTCTAAGTGCCATTCACACGGCTGTGTTGCTATTACTCTAAGTGCCATTCACACGGCTGTAGCATAGTTGGTTATAGCTAAGACTGGTCATGCAACACAGAGCACCACACAATCATCGTTATAACAAATAGTTTCATGTCCATACTCTACAGGCAATCATCAGACAACTAACAATACCGCATCTCTTCAGATCAAACAAGGGTATGCAGCAGCAGTTATAAAAAAACCTTTTGAAACATTTCTAAAATAACGATACTAACACAAAGCACCACAAAACATGATAAAAAGAAAACAGCACCTCAGACATTCTGCATGTTCTACATTGTATCCAAAAGTGACATAAAAAACTGAATGATGTATTGCGACACTTCATAGGGAGACATTTTGTTGAAATGCAATAGATTTTCAGAGAAAGGAAAAGAGCACCCAGCTAACACAATCAATATAATCATCCTCTGCACATCGAGAATATGTAACAATGAGAGTGATCGAAGTAGAATGTAGATATACAACTCAGTGCAGGAGTTCATAAGCAAATCCATGTATACACATGCATACACAAACACATTCATACCCCACACACATACATAGTCACACAGACAGACACATGCACATGCACATACACATGCACATACACACACATGCACGCACACACATGCACGCACACACATGCATATACACAAACACGCACACACACACACACACATGCACACACACACAAACCAACACACACACACACACACACACACAAACAAATGCACACACACACACACATACACACATATGCAAGCACACATTCAATCATGCAAGTATGATAAACAGTAATTGGCAATGTTCATCAGTTCATCATCTTAATCAGACATGTTGGAACTGCTCCAGTTGGTCATGACTTGGCTGGATCTACTGTTGACCTGCCCTATGCATGTTTCCTACTGGCAAGGTTATGCATACTCGATGTGTCACACAAAAAACTGAAATACTATAGTAAAGCCTGACCTAACAAAACTGCTAATACTGGTCCTGTTCATGTTTCACAGCAGTGAGAAATAATAGTGTAGAACAAGAAACAAGATGCTCCAGGACAAAAGTTAGAACATTGTGATACAGTGTTTGCCATTGTTACTAACATACACAGTACCACTGGGTGATATTGCAATGCCACGCGGATAAGAAAGACAACGTCTTGAACCGAAGGTAGCCACGTGAGAGAATGTGTCAGAAGTGAACACCTAACAGGGTATCACAATGGAAACACACACATACCGGCATACACACAACACACGCACCGGCACACACACACACATTTACAAAATACATGTACTTCGAAGTACACACATACACACACACACACACATACACACACGCCCACACAAACACCCACCACATACATACAAAGTCATATACTTCAGAAGTACACATACATTACGATAGAATAGAATATGCCCATCCAGAGATGATAGAAGGTCCCCAAGGGACCAACAGTGTTCAAGTCACGAGCAGAATCGGGCGTGGTACACAGGAACGCAAACGCGACCCCCCCCCCCACACACACATACACACATAAAAACACGCACCATGCACACACATGCACTCATACACACTCGCACACATACCGTATATTCCAGAGTATAGGTCACACTGGAGTATAAACAGCAACCCCAATTGTTTTCCACAAAATACAGACATCAACCCTAGTAATTTATTACCGATCATCGGAGTAAAAGCTGCAACCCACATTTTTGAGTGTATTTTGAGCGTTGGATGTACGGCTTATACATGTACTCAGGAAAATACGGTATACACACAATGAGACAGATTTTATCAGTAAACTTTCTTGCTTTTTCACAGTCAATCTTGATGATGCCCAGGGCCGAAATATTTTTTATATTTGTTATTTCAGTTCAGAGACCGTATCTGTGTGTGTATGTGTATGTGTGTGTGTGTGTGTGTGTGTGTATGCGTGTGTTTGAGCGATATTTTACTTTCTTGCAGGCCTAAAAATACAAATCTTATAAACCAAAACGATACTATGGGGAATTCAACTCCTGGAAGAATACAGCCGCATCGATTGACTGATTCCAAGCCATCGTGAGGAAGCCGGAGTGCGCATGTGTCTGTTTCGATATTGTGGAATATTATCCGTTGATTTCGGAAGATCTTCTTCTGCGCGCTATCGAGTTTGCTGAACACCGGTATTAGCAAACAAGACAAAGACATCATTCTGCATTCGCGAAAGTCGCTATTATTCAGTGGAGACAATACTAGGAAGAAGAAGAACGGAGAAGACTATTCGACTTGACAATGGGATGTGTCGACGCTGCCGAAGTATGCGAGCTAGTTGGGACGTATGCACTGACTAAGATTGCACACAAAATCAACAGCAGAGAGGTCGGACTGTAGCGTGAGGACGGCCTAGCAGGGCTACGAGACGTGACAGGCAGCGAAGCAGACCGAATGAAGAAGACAGTCTGCAAAATATTCAACAGCCTCGGACTACGAATAACCATCTACACCGGTTTGAAGGTTGTGAATTTTCTGGATGTGACGCTGAACCTAGCAGACAGAACATATCGCCCGTATCGAAAACCGAACGATACACCGGTCTATGTCCACAGACAAATGAATCATCCATTAACAATCATCAAGCAAATACCGAAAGCTATTAGCAGGCGGCTAACCGATATTTCATCAGACCAAGACGTGGTCAGAGAAGCCGCACCACTATACAACAGCGCACTTAGGAACTGTGGATATACCGAAGGACTAGAGTACTTGGAAGAGAGAGACAAAGATTCAAGCAAGAAAAAGGAAAAAAACAGGCGGCGGAATATCATCTGGTACAACCCGCCATTCAGCAAGACCGTAGCCACAAACACCGGACAGAAATTCCTGCGACTACTCGAAATACACTTCCTCGCCGGATCCAGACTACACAAGATCTTCAACCGGAATACAGTTAAAGTAAGCTATAGTTGTATGCCGAATATGTGTTCAATGGTCAAGTCACACAACAAATCTGTTAAACGGAAGAGTGGAAACAACGACAGACAGCCCAAGGAAAGGCGATGCAACTGCAGAGACAAAACGCAGTGCCCAATGGACGGCAACACCCAAATCAGGTCTATTGTGTACAGGGCAACCGTTCAAGTAACCGGAGAGGACAGACAGAAGGAGTATAGTGGTCTTACTGAGCCAGCATTTAAGAAGAGACATGGCAATCATCTAACTTCATTCAGACAAGAGAGACATGAGAAGAGCACAAAACTATCAAAGTGTGTCTGGAACCTGAAGCGTCAAAATAGCGAGTAGAGTCTTGGTTGGTCAGTTATCGCCCAGACCCCGGGTTTCAGTAACAAAACCAAGCATTGTCCTCTGTGCCTAAGAGAGAAGCTAGAGATCCTTCAGGCGGACAAGCGTGTCCACATCAACAAAAGATCGGAGCTAGTTGGCAAGTGCAGGTATGAAAACAACTACTACCTCTCAAAATTCTCACCATTAGCCGTCACATTACCTTCTCACTACTCGCAGTCGCAGGTGAGGTGCCGCTCATAATTACCCCATTGTTCTTCTTCTTGGCTCCCTCAGAAGAACATGTTGAGCCTATGCCTAAAGTGTATTCTTTTTTTGCCCCTATTTTTGCACCCCATCATATCAACCAACTCACGCAATTATTTTCATAATTACACTATCAGCCTGCATCATCCATTCGCACTATGTTCCAAGCTTGCAGCCTATATCAATCATATCTTCCGAAAATTGTAGTCAAGTTGCGATCTCATGATTGGTTAAAACCGTGAAACTCAGAGTTACAGAAGAAACGCTTTTGATTCCTCTCAAGTGTGTGTAAACCAAAGTATACGGTTTAGACTTTATTTTTGTGCTGCGCTGGCAAGTGTTTACATGAGGCGTTTCAGCCAAGAGTCAAGTTTCTACCCACCATGAACACAGATTGACTGGAGCGTTAACATGCCGCATTGCGCTTGATCCGGGTTGAAATTTCAAACGGGGTGGATTTCAACCATCCCCTCGGGCCCAGGGAGGGTTGAAATCGAGAAATCTTACTACCGAACTTCTGTGCATACCTTGCGCCAAGTTTGAACAGCACTGCACAGGAACATTTGCGCGAATGCTTTCACGTGACTACAGGACTCTAGATTTGGACTTTTGGCGGCATATCAGTATTTGACGCGAGTCAACTGTCTTGATTTGAGCACTAACTTATTTTTCCCTTGTACCGACTTTCAACCAGGGTTGAAAATTCTCATGTAAAAGAAGCCTACGGGCAAAACAACTCTGCCCGCAGATTGAGTACCGGATTTCTGGAGTGTTTCATACTTTGAAATGCATACAAAACTGGAAAATCACCCCTGCAGCTAAGACTGGGAATGCTAGGAATGACTACCAGCGCTACAGCACTCAATGAATATACTGCATGCATGGTGTTGTTCAGCTACTCTTCATGTACTGCAGCCCATCATTGTACTGGTGCAAAGCTTCTTATTGTACATGTTGCCAGTTCTGAGTGAATGGCAAAGTAGACAACTTTTGTAGAACTTCGGTCGTGCTTCTCAACCTTTTAACCATTGTATGGTTTATGCTGATAACCATCTAAATGTTAGGCTGCCTAAACATTCGAAATCTGACGGGCGGGTGGCTTATACAGCGGATGGCAATACAAATACAGATGGTGGACCCGAAAAGGCGGGTGCGGCTTAGACTCCGGTGAGCCCAACACACCGTAAAATTCGGTATTTTCCTCCAGCTCTTGTACTGTCGTACAATCCTGGACATGGAAATCCGGTCACACGTCTAGCGGCCCCAGGGCGCTGGCCATTCAGCCGTGGATAAGCAGTACAGACATGCATTACATGTACATGTACATGTTGATGTATATGCACTGCAGTGCACTGGTCACTGCAGTGCACTGGTCACTGCAGTGCACTGGTCACTGCAGTGCACTGGTCACTGCAGTGCACTGGTCACTGCAGTGCACTGGTCACTGCAGTGCACTGGTCACTGCAGTGCACTGGTCACTGCAGTGCACTGGTCACTGCAGTGCACTGGTCACTGCAGTGCACTGGTCACATCAGATCAACATGACTGTAGTACACAACGTTCTGTACGCACTGAGGACGCCGGCCCGGGTCAATCCACTGGGTTTCCATGTCCAGAACTGTAGTAGGTGAGCAATTTCGTGCGGGATAGTGCCTTTGCTGTTTGCCTGCGTTATGCACAGCTCACTGACGTGTCAGTTTGAGCACTCTGGTAACGTGCTTTTGGACCTTATTTAAATCTGGCTTTGGAAAATATTTTTTCATTGCTACATGTATCAGATTCGGCCACATTTTCCCTTTGCTGCGCTGACGAGTCCACAAAGGGCCACAGAGGATGCTGTCCACAGATTGAGGTTATCCGAATACTACTATACTAGAGTAACCATCTCACTATGAACTTGGAATGGAGGAACTGTCAACGCTATTATTTCCCTTGGGTGACAGTTTTCATGATTTGAAATGAAGGTGCCCACAGTTGTCGCAAAGTACCGTGTGATGTCATGCCAAACTAGATCTCCACTTGTACATTCATCGTCAAAACGTAGTCAAGCCCGTTTGCTGGTCGATCGACATACACTGTAGCTGTTCCGATGTTCGGTGCACTAATGCCTTGTGAACTTGGACACCAGAGCTGCACACATGGGTATTTTGTGCAAAAGGAGAATGCCAAAAGGTAGAGACCCATGTGCAGCTACGTGGTTATTTGAACAGCTACCATCTTTTTGACTTCTTCCACAAGGATCTTTTTGGCATGTAAGTAAAAAGTCTTGGTCCATTTCATGCTGGGGAACATTACGAAACTGAGCGAAAACAGCACCATGAGGCGAAAACAGCACCACGTCACCTTCGGTCGGTGATCACAAAACCAACCCGAGCCAAGAAGAACCGTAACTAGGTCAATGTAATTCTTCTGATAACGATGAATCCGCTAAAGATGCAGGTGACAAGCTCCCCTCATCTTTCCTTTCAGACACATGTGCAGCAGTGCAACCTTCGGTACAACAACATTTTTTTCTATCATCACAAGACAAGGCTAGGAATCTTTACGTGACAGTTCCTCTTAAAATTCAATGGCAAACTCCCACCAAATATTCATTTGAATAAGATTTCCTCATGACAAGCAAGCTGGCACTGGGTTCAAGTCCTGGTGGGTCGGGCATTTTTCTCTCTTTAAG